GAAGTTTGCCTTACCATAAGCTTTCGTTGGAGCCCTGTCCCGTTGACTAACTTGGGTATAATAGTCTACTTATGCACCGGACTAATAGTCCAATATCCTTGATTTTAGCACATGAAACTGGAAAATTGGCAACGCTGTACAGCCTAAACCAGGGGTCACTTCAAGTTGAAACTTTGCATGGAAGTTTGCCTTACCATTGGCTTTCATTTGAGCGCTGTCCGGTTGACCAACTCGGGTATAAAAAAAAGGGGCTAAACTTGGCGAGGCTCTTTTCAAATTGGTTCGTAGGGCTGATCTCTCCTTTACTACCCCAACCCCAGGCGACCTTTGCCGGAGACCATCAAGCTCAGGTCATCTGGCCGGGAATCGAACCCGGGACCTCATTGTCATGGGGCCAGCGTTACAACTATGCACCACCGGAGGCCGACGTCTGATAATAACGGAGACATAACCCTGCTTAAAAAACACTAAGAATGACGTCATAATCAGTGGTTGTGCATACCATGTTTTTTTTTCCACCTAGGTTACAGCCATGATTCACTAGTCATGAAACACAGATGCACTGAAAAAAAAATCTCGGTGTATTTACTAAGAAAAGGGTAAAATTACCAAGAATTCAGGGTTCTATTTGATCCCAGTTTTTTCTTGGTAAAATTACCATTTCTGGAATTGGTAATTTTACCGAGAAATCTCGGGAAAATTATTGAAATTTCTCGGTAATTTTACTGGACCTTGGTAAAAACGCCAATATTTTTTATCGACTGTGGTAGAATTACCGAGATAAAATGGCAAAGTTACCGGGGATTGATTACCAATAGAAGTGGTATTTTTACCTTAAAAAAACAGTAAAAATACCGGTTTTTAGGTAAGCTTACCAGTCCATCTTGGTAATTTACAAATAATTGGTAAAAAAAAGTGAGATGGTAAAGGTACCAAAGGACCTTGGTAAAAACGCCGATAATTTTTTTTCAGTGTGAAACATTTGAAATACTCGAACAATCACAACGAAAAAAAAAAATCCACCGATGGTCATGCTCCATATTTCTTCCAACAAAGGGGAAAAAGTTCTTCTTTTCCCGCGGAAACGCCGCGTCGACTTACGCTCGATTCAATATCGCGAGGATTGGAAAGAGCGCTGGGAGCGAAAGTTGCCTGGAGGCCCTCGAAAAGGAAACGCCTCGGCCGGGCGCGCAGTTGGAATCGATTACAAAATAATAGGCGGAAAATGAAACACAGAATCGGGGCTCGAGAGGGAGAGCTCGAGGTTTGTTCCGGAGCTAAACCCTAAAAATAACAAAACAAACTTCAAACTTCGATCCTCCCAGATTTGTGCCGGAGAGCCAAGTGCGGAAGAAGTCCTTTAAATGTCAAAGCAAGGGCCGAGGACCGGAGGCGGGAAGACAACGCGACGAATTCGTCTTCGGAGCCGCGAAAAAAACGCCTTATGAACACTTGAGCGTTGCCAAATTTCTTCTAATTAAATACTCGTTCCCTATAGAAAACTGCCGTGCGACGCGAAAACGCCGTAAACACCATTTTAAATATTTTGAAAACAATATATGGATTGCATTTTGCATAAAGGAACCACTAGCATTGCAATGATGCTAGGATTGTGCAACTTCATCTTTTGCAATATGATTGCGGAGATCGTGAAAAACTATGAAATTTAGATGGTAATATTTGTCTTAAATTTACAGTTTTTAGCGAGTAAAATAGAAACTATTAATGGATAATTGGGGATTTCCTCCAAGACAAAAGAAGTTGCACAATCTTAGCAACATTGCAATGCTAGTGGTTCCTTTTTGCAAAATGCAATCCATATCATGGCAGAAAAACTTGGGTACCTTAGGACAATGTTTTTAAAGAATTCTTTCACAAATGCTATGAAGAACTTAACCTGAAAATTTGAAGTGCGTGGGTAAAACATTTTTTATTTTACAAAGTGTTAAGTTCCAAAAAACAAGGGAAAATCGAGATGGATTTACGGCGTTCTTGCTTAGCACGGCAGAAAACTTGTAAACGTTTATTTGTGGAGTTTATCATCGAATTTTCTTCTTAATTTAAACTGGCAACCCTGTTACTGCCAAGGAAAAAATAATCGTATTTTTGTTGAAAAATGAGTATTTTACTGAAGGAATTTGGCAACGTTTGAATATCCATAGGCGGTTTTCCTAAGCACGGCGTTCGTGGCCTATCAGCGAAAGGAGGAGAAGTCCCGGGTTTTGAGTCAACAACACTCCTCGCCGATGAGGTTTGTTCCTCTTTATGATCGTTCCACGCTAAAGCTCACGAAAAAAATGAGAATAAAAAAAAAAAAAAAAAAAAAAAAAAAAAAAAAAAACACGCACCACCTCGTATTGGATTTTTCTCTCGCCTTACTTCATATTTTATCCTATATTTTGTTTTAATTTATTTCGTTCTACTTGCTTTATATTATTTATTGCCCAGATGGAGAAAAATAAATCACCACCACGAGAGAAATGTTTGTCGTAAGGGAGGAAAATGAACTACCAACCCATGGTAAAATTTCGTCGCTACGGCAGTTTTTGTTGTTATGTTGACAGTTTTGTCTTATGAAAGGCAATGGTAAAGTCTGAAGATTTTTCTCTTTTAACAAAACTAAAAATTATTATCATTTTAGGAAAATTTGCAATTGTGGTCATGAAATATTATTTTAAGAGCATAATTGCATAATTTTTCATAATTTTGCTAGTAATAGTTATACTTTTTGAGATATTTATTTATAGGGTGACCTTCGTAGCGACGGGTCATTCCTAATATATTCTCTAGCACTTGGTCGATCTTTTTTTTTCTTCCTTTTGTTAGCTTCCGTTTTTATTTTTATTTTTTGGAATGAAAAATAGAAGAGCTTTTGCATGCATGCATGGCCTCAAAAATAAGCCGAAAACGCAGGTCTCAATTACAGATACGTGAGTCGGGGCATGACCAAAAGTCATACTAAAAACAAAACAAGAATAAAGACTAGAAACTAAAAGAAAAATGTCTCCGTTTTTTCCACACGACCGATCGAGGGAAAAGAGTCTTAGAAAGTAGTGGCCAATGGCAAATTTTTCATTGAAGATTTTTTTTTTTCTTCAAATAATATGAAGTTTTTGAAATAAAGCTTCGAACAATCAAAATAACATAGACACTTGAGCTTTTGAAGTAAGTAAGTGACCAGAGACAATTTAATCATTCTGCACCATCCTTTTAGTTTCATCATAACAATAATTTATTATCATAAACAAATTTTTTATGTATGATTGCGGGGAAAATATCTAAACGACTGACTTTTTTCAAGTAAATAATTCATCTTTTCGTGATCCTGGGAAAAACCATAGCTTTCCATGAATATGTTGTTGCTTCTGCTTAAAATATATAAGTATTTCTGTTTCGAAATATAGTTGGGCACGTAGAGAGGGTGTAATCATCAATTTTGGGGGAGCAGCAAGTATTGAAATCTTTATTTCCAATCGGTAACAGAAGTGGAAAGACCGCGGATACCGGATAGTTCCGAACTGGACGTATTTCTGCCAATCGGAACTATGTGCATTAAAACATGAGCCCTGAGACTCATAAGAATATATGCATAACAGGGCTCACGTCAAAATGCTCATAGCTCCGTTTGACAGAAATACGTCCAATTTATGCAACTTAAGCACGTAGTATCCGACAGCTGCTTTACATACGCACGGTTATTCTTCCTCACTTTTTGTCCGATTCTTTGAGATATTGTTGGTATGAATTTAACCGTATAATTTCAACAGATGACTTCTGAAGATTAAAGACAAATCATCATACGTCCTCTATCCTCCTGAACCCTCTGTAGGAAGAATTAATAATTTCAACTCTTTGAGAAATTATTACTATGATCACAATGCTTGGATTCTACTCGGTACTGGCTAAGTAATAATAATTCGACTATTCTTTTGATACGCATAACCATGTATATCTTTACTTTGCCGCTAAACTCATAAAATGTATACCTACTGATTTTCCTAAATTCTACTCATATCGTCTAAAAGGGGAAATCGATGGCTAAATTTTTAAAAAAAATGCTTATCTTAATAATTGCAACATTTAAACATCTTCGATTATGTTTTTATTTTCTTCAAAAAAAAAAAAACCCATCACATTTTTCCTTGCTATTTTTTTGTAATTTTATCGAGTGAAATTAATTCACCAAAAATATAATAGAAACTTGGTTGGTTTTCCTTTGAAAAAAAAATAGAACATAAGTGGAGACATGAAACGTCGGAAACTGAAATACGCGTTTTTCAACTTAAGCCATCGATAAAGACATCCTAATATAACATAGTAAATTTGCGAGAATACGTCTCCATTTCCACCTACACTTCTTTTTTACGGAAGGGGGGGGCATCTTTTACCTCAAGTTGAATCCTTTTGAATCAGTCTCAATCACTGTGCGACTCTTTGGTCTCTCATAATTTAGAAAAAAAAGTTTCAATAATATTTTTTTTTAATATGTAGCTCGGAATGAACTCTTATTGTTATAGTTTCATTTCATACATCATGCAACGAAGGATTGCCATGCAAAAGTATGCTAACTCATTAAGGAAGCGGCACATAGGGATGTTTTCCTCTCTCATACAACGCGCGTAACTCATATTCATGACTCAAAAATAAATGAAAACCTTAGGAAAATTTTCTAAAACGAAACGATGCACACACACAATCCCTCACACGCACCCTCACAAACAAATTATTTGAGTTGGTGGATTCATTTATCATAAAGGATAACCACAGCACGTCAGAGCTTAGTAATGCCCAACACAGGAACCAAATTGAAATTAATACGAAAAGTTTATGAAATGCGTACAAATTACTCACGATATCTTCTCGGTAAATCGCTGTCCAGTGTAAGTCCACACATAACGTTAGATTGCTTGCGGAGGAGTAGTAACTACATATTTCAGAGATTTCAAAACTTCTTTAAATTAAAGACAGAAAGAAGCCAGGATTTTGAGTTTTATCCTAAGATACGTCTGGCACCCGTTTTCGAGACTGTAATCAATCTTTTTAAACCGATGTTTCTCTTCAACAATTATCAGAACACTCCGACACTACATTCCGAACTTCCCAGCAATCGAGAGGTAAAACGTCCGCAACAATCCACTCGGTAATCAACATTCCCGGTTGATTTTTTTTTTCTAATTAACGAAATTTATTTTTTCCCCCGAGCACTTCGACCCGAACTCATTTCGGATGATTCGTGAACCTCTCTCTGCGGAGTGTCACGCGCATCGGGACAACAGTTACGATTCAAAATTTTAACGTTTGTTTTGGGGGGCGATAAACGGGGGTTCGACGGAGAGCGCGAGGGAAGATTTGACGCGCGACACCTTTTAGGGATTCAGACAGCGTAAATAACATTTGGTTCGCGGAGTGTGTCGGCAAGGACGGCTCCGCTGGCGTGAGCGCAGGGGTGCATGCGCGCTCGAGCCTTTGCAGCGAGCCCGGCTGCAAAAGGTTGCTCTGTCTCTCAAAATTGGACCAGCTTCAGTTCCCGCCCGTCAACAGAGGCCCCAAGCCGGAGCCTGGATTAAGGGCTGTTTGTCGTTTCTCAAATCTGACTTAGGGAGCCTGTTACGGCTCACATTAAGGTGGGAGGGATAAACTCACGTACTGCGTGGAAAAGTTTGCGAGTTAGACTGCTCTGTTGGCTATGACTGTTACATTTGGACCTTAAAAATGTTGGGGAAAAATGGTAAAATGGAAAATGGAAAAATATAAAAAATGGTTAAAAACCTCGGATCCGGATCTTGGAACTTTGGAAATCCGGATTAATTGAAATTAAAATCATGGGGATGGTGTGCGTAACGGAAGTATTTATGTTTTTTTAATTGAAATTTCTGATCCTTATAATTGATTTTTTAAATATTCCGTGAGTTACATCATAAAATATAAAAATTCTATATAGTGATCTTGAAAATATAACTATTATTATGACAGTAATTGTTTTGTTGGTTCTAGATCAGTTAATAACTGACTTAAATGAAAAAAATTCACCTATAATATTAATTGAGGGAGGTATGGTAGAATTTCCTATATACATAAAAAACATTGGTTCCAACCTTAAAATGGTTGGAATTTACTAGTTATGAAATTCTAATACCGTTCATTTTTAAAGAAGATTTGGGTGAAATTTACGTTTAAAAAAAGTTGGAATGGTCCTAAGGGTTGGACTTTACGAGTGATGGAACTCTTTACGTTCATTTTTAAGGAAAATGTGCGTAATATCTACGTTTAAAAGAAGTTACGAAGAATATTAATATCGAAATTTAGGTAGATTCAATTTGTCACTCCTATTGATGCTAAACGTAAAATAAACTGCAAAATATGCAACATAAGAAACTAGACCAGTATGTAACATTTTTGTTAAATTTTACTATAAGGAAGTGCTAAAATTGTGTTAAAGTACAGGGTGGCACTATCACGCCGAAGAGAATATACACAGAGAGAGAGTAGTACACGACGTAGAGGATAAATATCGTATAAAAACTTTCAGGTAGATTCGACTTCCAAATAAAATCTTTGCATTAAGATATCCTCACGCTTATTAAAAGAAGGGCACTTATCTGACTTATCTTTAAAACCTTAGAAAAATCCTATTAATTTCAGGAAGGTATTTTCGAGTAGCTGTTCCATTGTTCTAATTCGAGAAGTAATGTTCCTGATTTTAATCACTCTCCCACATAAAATAATTCAGAGTTTACAACGAGGAGTCACACATATTGCCATCGCAGTCATTGAAGGCGAAGTTGATGGAATGAGAGACACTTAGTGAAGAGATTAATCAACGTATGAGACAGAGTGAAAGTGACTAAAATACCAAGCGCAACTATACGCGCTCCTAAGTCGCTCAAATTGCCGTCTCTGTTATTGAAGGCGAACTCGACAGAATCAAAGACACGCAGTGAGGAGAGTTATGTGTGCCCCTTGTCAGGGCAATAAGGCGAAAGTGACAATATTACTAGGCGCAACTATTCGTGCTCCCAAGTCTCTAAGATTGCCGTCGCGTGTATTGAAGGCGTATCACTCTGTCCCGGCGAAAAACACTCGTTACTCTCCTCACTAATTTTAAGTGTCTCTGATTTTGTCGGGTTCGCCTTCAATAACCGCGACGGCAAATTGAGCGACCTAGGAGCACGAATAGTTGCTTGCGGTAATTTTGTTAATGTTTTGTCACGTTCCAGCGCGTGTTTTCACTTGACCCGTAGATGATAGGTGATTTTTTCGCTTTTGTTGAAAAGGACTTTTTGACTCGCGCTATACAGCACCGTCATACATAAGAGAAGATAGGGAGCTTTCTCCTTTGGCCCCACGGTGAAAGGCAACTTTTCCTAAATTTCAGGACCTTAATAAGTTATTTCACCCTGAGGGATTGGTTAAACTAATAAGCACCTGAAAATCTACAAACCACGAACTCTTGTTTCATCCCCCGAAGTCTTGATATAATAAGTCTTCATAAAGGGGGTTCGTGTGAGTTCAAAATTATGAATGCTACTGCCGGGCTCTTTATTCAAGAAGATTGTAAGCGTTCGACGTCAAACGCACAGAAAACTTAGCGAAAGTGAATTGCCTTTGTCTTCTTCAATTAGCATCATCAAACTTCTCGGCTTTTCCGTTAGAGTGAGTTTCATCGTTTATTCAGCAAGACGGAACAATATGTCATGATTTCAGACCCATCGAAAATGCACTGTAAATTCTGACAAATAGTTTGTTGAATGAGCCTCACCATTTCAGTTCAATTTTCAGAATTTACTATAGTATTTACGAAATGTGAATGTGAATGTTTGAAAGACGGAACCAACTCAAGAGGACGATACGGTGTGATTTCTGAAAATAGTTAGAAGTGTGTTAACGGGTCAATCGTGATGATCATAAAATTGTGTCTTGCCGGTTTAAACTTGTAAATCTGAATGAAGGAATTGTCCGATCCAACACCGACAGAGGTATTATTCCTCAAAAAACTCTGAGAAAAAATTGGTTGTCGATTTAACAGAATTGATTCCGTTGACAGCTTTCCTGGGACGCTAAAAAGAAAGCCTCGTCACCACAATATTTACCGGACTTGCAATAGGAAAAGCTCGAGTCAACGGTGTATGTAGGTTATCCCATTGCCTGGTAACGGTAAAAGGAAATTTGCTAGCAGGAAACTTTAATGCTATTAAAAATCAAAAGTGTCTGGTTATATCAACCGTCATTCCAGTTACATTAAAAGAAACACCGGTATTAGGAATCGTTGTGAAGAAATTTTTGAAAGTTATGGCCTATTCCTCTGACTAGAATTTAACTTGATAGTCTACTAAGTGTTTCACAGTGTTCTACACTCTTTCTAAAAATTTATGTCTCTGAGAACAAATCACAAGTTTTTGCTGATTCGTAAGTTTCAAACATCAAAGTCAATTTTATAGCCATCACAACCGTCTTATTATGGCAGAATCCCCATCGCAGTGTCTCAAAATTTCCGCCTCTATTTTATTTTTTCATAGGCACAAGCCAACTTTGCGCAGAATACTCTGCACGTTAACAAGAATGAAAACTCAAGGAAATTACGTTGACAAGTTTTTCAAAGAAAAAATACAGAATGACTAAAAGTCTGCAACGTTGGAAATGGAGATAACGTGGTTTCGCACTTTGGCCATGCGTGGATATCCCGAAGTCGCATCCACACAACCGAGCTATTGGACGAAGTTGCGAGGAGTGTCAAGAAAGTTTCGAGCCGAAAATTCTTCTCATTACATCTCCTTAAAAGTGATGTTCCATCTCGTTGACAACCCTGCATAGCTGTCATTCTCGTTTTATCAAGAGCGGCCCTTGAGGGCGGGCGGTCACCCATCGCGCCTCGCCGAAGGAGCCCTTTCAAAGCCTTTTCCGGGTCGTCACCGAACGGCCGGAGTGGAGCATTTTCATGTCTCGTCAATTTTCTCCTCCCTGGTTCATTCATTTTTCTCCACTTTCATCACGGTGCCTCCATCATCGCTCCCCTCCCCCTTTCTTTGGACATTTAATGCGCTTGCCAGCACCACCCGTGGCTCATCTCTCTCCATTGAGCAGGGAATATAACGCCCTTTGCTGTCATGAGTATTGTAAGAGTTCGCCAGCCCGATCAACATTATTATCAATCCATTTCCAGTCTATTTTAATCAGGGTCTGCCCCTGAATGGACCAATAGGCAGGCTTATAAGAAATTGAGTTCGACCTTGAACAAATTGTACCCTTTCTAAACGGATTTTCTCCCCCTTCTTAGGTGGGATTTAGGTATAATTCTGTTACCTACGCACAGAAGTAACTATACTGCCGTGCTAAGGAAGAACGCCTTACGAGCTATCAGACATTGCCAAGCTTCCTTTGATAAATCACGAATTTATTGGAAAAGTTACGAATATTTTTATTCCAGTTTTTCGGACAGCATTTTTCGAAGTTTAGTCTAAATTATCTAAAAATTTTGAGGAAATATATGCATAACTTCCTTTCAAAATAAAAATTTTATCGGAGGAAATTTGGCAACTCTCGATTGGTCATATGGCGTTTTTTCTTAACATGGCAGTATATGGGGAGAGTCTTGCGGTTTGTGTGCTACTCCCTGATTGGCTCATCAGTTTTGGGCTTCCCGTGGGGCTCTTGTGGGCCAATGTAAACAACCCGATCGAGAGAATTTTATATTATCTGAAGGGAAAATAGTTATATGCTAATGGATAAACAGTATAATTTTATCAAAAATATCAATCAAAATTTCGAATCAAGTCAAAAATGAAACCAAGTGTACAGTTGATTCCCGTCTTGGATTTCCTATTGGTGAAATCATTCGGAGAATGGAATCAACTGCGTCGCGATCTTGCGAGTAACGAAGCCGTCCTAGGGAAGAACGCCGTATGAACATTCGAGAATTTCCGAAATTTCCTTCAATGAAATGTTTATTTTTGAAGAAAGGTATGAATATTTTTCCTTGAAGGTTTCAGGGACTTTAGGTGACATTGCGAACAAAATTATCTCAAAAATACGAAGGAAAATATTCATAAGGTTACCAGGAAATTCGTGTTATATCAAAGGAAATTTGGCAACGCCTGATGGTTCATACGGCGTTTTTCTTTATCACGGCAGAACGAAGGAGCACACTTCGTCTGCCAAAAAACTTGATTCCTTTTTGGATGCGTAGCAATATGACAATGCATGACTCAACTCGATACACGGTTGCATGATGCATGCGTGAGTCTAAGAAAAAAACTACGTGGAAAGCGCCAAAACTAGAGGAAAAAGTTGGGCACAAAATGAAACCCAGATATTGTTATTTGAGATTCTTTGGACCAGGTGAAACAGTGAGTGAAAATGGACGAACTTGCCATCTCA